AAAAAGAAAATCAAGCACTTGCACAAAATTCAGACGCGCAGTGGAGTATGTATTTTTTTCAAAATTCGAGGTCTTCGTAAGTTAAATGTGAAGAAACAACGTCTATAGTGTTTGATGTGTCATCTGAATTTTAAGAGCAAACGATAAATAAAATTGTAAAAAAAAAAAAACCGGATATCATTGAATGTCCGTATCGATTTAACAACAGCAAAAACCTAAACCTTAATTATATAAGCATCCAGCACAGTCGCTCACCACTTTCGTCTTTCTAAGCTTTTGTAGAATGTTGAGACAGGGAAAACAAGAGGTAGGCTTTCTTTTCTTTTGCAAGTCAGTCTTTGTGTTTGCCCTGTGCATTGTAATCTCCCATTTGTAGTTGAAATCGCTTTTAAGATGGGCCTGTGGTGGAGTAAAATGAATTTAAAGAAAAAAAACGCATTAAGACAGGCAGGTTTTAAAGGGAACCTAATGGGGTCGGGGGGGGGGAAGGTTGAGATAGCATTTCCTCCCCCCCTGCCACAACCTTGTATTTGCTTTCACGACAGTAACTGGTTTTGCATTACTACGACACACGATTGGTTTAACAAAACGCGCGCCCTTTTTTCATCCAATCAGAAGTAAGACCAAAACCAAACTTTACTCACTAGCGAACGTTTTCCCGCAATTCGCGTCAACTACATGGATATTTATACGTCGAGTTTTGATTGGTTCATTGGATTATCTGTGTCCTTTGTGATTGACTAGAAGGATTACTTTGGTGTTGGTCTAGCGACACTCAGTTGAAAACCGCTTAGGAGAAAACCACGCTGGCAAATGTAATGACAACAAAGTATAACTAACTCGTTTTCTTGAACTTTCTTGGTTATGGTAGTGTTTATCATTGTTTATGTCCTTTCGCGGCTGAAAAAAAAAGAGTTTTACCTCATTAGCCTAACTAGCAAAGTGAGCAATCACAGATTTCCAATAAGGAGGTGCAGTAAATGCCATTTGCACTGCAGATGAAGCCTATTTGGCTTATTTTACTATAAATAGAATTATTTGTCAAATAGTTAGACCATTCTTTTATATTACAAATTTTTCCGAATCTTCAATTGAATATTTTAAACTTATTTGAACCAATCAATTCAACATCAAAACCACAGCACTTTTCTTCATTTGCAATGTATCTTAAAACTGCTCCGTTAGAGAGAACGTTACAGAGTTCTTTCGAGCCATTTCAGTTATCAACAGTGTTTAAATTATTCTCTTCCACTTACCATTTTACGCCAATTTCCTCTTGGGTCAAAACGTCCACTAGGTTCGCCAGGCCTAAGTTGATCGTCAAAACTGCTAGCGGCCCTTGAACACTTAAACCAAGTCCTTTCTCTTGTCTGAAAAAAGCAAAGAGGAATAAGTGATTAAAATGATAACGGTAACTAGAACCGCTAATAGCCTGCCAACAGCCTCGCGGCGAGGACGGGAAAAAAAACATTCAGTGAGCAAAGCGACCGGACGAGCGCGAAACTGGGCTCCCCGGGAGCCTGTCCACAGGCTTAAGAGCTATCTCCAACACTTTCGTCATTGTGCTCCGCTTTGGCCTCAGTTATCGCCTGGTGTTTTTGAATATTTGGGTTAGAGGGTATTATGGAAAAATATCTGCATTTTTAGCCAAAATTGGGAGACCCCTAGAATTTTCTTATGGATTTTATGCATTTTAATTATCTTAAATTTTATTAGTGTGAATGATTAAAGAAATAGAGTACATACCTCCTGGTTGGAGCCTGGCACTCGTAATATTTCACGTTTCTGCGTCAGATACAGAGTTTCGGACATCATCGAGTTTCTTCGAGATCCTTCGTCCAGGAACGACTGACACGAAGTTGCTTAGATGGGCCCTTATACTCCCAGGTCAGTGGTAAACAAAATGAGAGAATTGTGCGGTTGACGCAATGTTGTCCCAAAATGCGTTAGACATGCGTTAATTGTCTGTTTACACCGAAAAATGTCCAAGACATGTCTTACCTTTTCACATGAAAAAGAAAATACATGACCATTTTTGGCGCAAGGATGCTTCAAAGCGGAGCAACTACGTAGATTTTGTGCGTCAGTTCCCTGCTGTTGCTAACGGGTCCAAATGGTATATGAAATACTGACAAAATAATTTATCATTTCAAAACATTGAAAACAGTTCTTTTCAGTGATTATGGCGGTATTTATTGTGGCAGTTCATTCGCTGCCGTAGAGACTTTCTGCGAGAGAATTAATCAATCCGTACAAATTAACGAGTGATGTGATCATTTTGTATTGTGAATGAAAAGCCCAGGTAGAAATCAATGTTGTGCAACTTTGTTAACCGGTGTAGTCTTGTTTGTCTACTCCGCCAGTTTGAATAAACCAAACCAGTTTGACCGGTTTAAACTGCTATCAACACAAACATTTATTGCGAAATTGTGTTTTCCTTGTACGCTTTACATAGCATATTTTTGTTACTTTTTTTAGATTTGGTGCGCGGATGTTTATGTGGAAGATGAAAATGCGCTTAAAAGCCGCATCGCCGAGCAACAGCATAACAACACAACAACAATAATAACAGCAGCGCACACACCTTAACAAACATCAGTCAGCAAGCTAGTCAGGATTAGTCTAAAGACATTGCTGATAGAAAATAACTGTCAATGGACGTTGTCCCACCATTATTTGAGATATTTGTTGAAAATTGAACGATGTGGACAAAATCAATTTCAAAAAATTCGATTCGAAAATAGCAGTCATACAGATAAAAGACACTCGTGGATGTATTGCGAAACACACATTTATAACGTGACCAAATTGAAAATCCCCTGTGACGCAGATCTTAACACGCGTTTTGTCTCCAAGCAACAAGCAAAAACACAGAACAGTCGCAGTTTCCATGACATGGAAATATCCTTGGTGAACGTCAAAATCATTATAGAGCGGTATTCACTACATCAATAGTCAAGTATTTTTTCTCCTTTTTCCTGTTTGTAGCACTCGACTCTCCCCGGTTAGCCTGAAAGAAATGACTGTTCACAAATTTCTACTTCTCTCAACGCAAAGAGGAACAAAAATAGGCTTAGTTCTGGTGTCCAGGTCTCTCTCGATTGTTACTTTTCGGGCTTTCAACGATGAAGAAAAACGTGAGAAAATATTGCATTGAACAGTCTAGTAAAATTATACTTGGATTATCTCGTTGTTCCTCACTCATGTATCCCTGTAGTGCCAGTTTGAACTCGGAAATAATAGCAGAGGCGGATCCAGGATATTTGTCCAGGGTATTTGCCTTTATTTCTGCCATAATAGAGCGGTTTTCAATTGAGTGTCGTAAAACCAAAACCAAACCAATTACCTACCAATTAGACTACTCAGCCACTCTTAAACCGTAGTAAAACCAAAACCAAAACCAAAGTAATCGTCTAATTACTTTCGACACTCAATTGAAACCTGCTCTATTCCCAATCTTTTTAATTACTTTTATTTTTTCAATTATTTTTATTTTTTCTGCCCCTAATTAGTCCCCTGCCCATTCACTATCATTTCCGATATCAACTTGACTACCAAACCAACTGATTGAAAAAGAAGTTTTATTCGATTTTTATACCCCATATAAATTTCACACGATGTTTCTAAAGTCATTTTGTAACAGAAATTAACGACAAATGCAAAATAATAACCTCGTCATTGTAGAAAAATGCCAGAGAAAAGCGATCATTTAAAAAACATTTATCGCAATGCCGAAAAAACAAAGCAAAACAATGAGCAATGAAATTAAAGCATTTTTTTTTTTTGACTTAAAGGTATCGAAAGTGGAAGCAATTTTATTCCAAATACACGCGCGTCGAGGCGTGCGTGTCGAGTAAGGTTGCGTGTCGAGGCGTGCACGTGTTTTTTAAACTAGCATAGGTCCACGAAATCATGCACGGTCTGGACTAGATCGACTACATCGATCTCCATCGCCTACTTTATCTCCTGTTCACACGAAATATTGGTGTTCACGATATCTCGAAACTTACAATGTAATTTACAAATTTCCGTCGGATTGCGTTCGTTCGATTTCCTTTATCACTTTCGCGTTCCGGAGCTCTGGAAAGACAAAGCAATGAAATAAAACAAACCAATTTAAATCATCCCCAATAATAGAGTAAACAATTGCAATAATTTTAGGATTTTTGTCTCTCAATGTAAGATAATATAATGACTGAATTTGGATATTCACTGTTCTTGCTGCATGTTGCTAAAAGTCTTCCATCAGGTGTGACGGTGAAATCAAGAAGCCCAGACACCGTATCAAACTCTGACACGGAATGGCGTGGGCGAGTTATGTCATACACCCTCATTCTGCTTGAAGACTGTTGGTAAACTAGAACCACGCAGTTCAACGGGTCAGCGGCAATACGTAAGGGATGTCCCAGGCCTCCCTCGTTCCAAAGTGGTTGTTTTCCAAACTCGTCGATAAATTTGCCATCTGCCTCGAAGACTTTCACAGATCCTTGGTTTTGTACTTCATTACTGTCAGAAAAGATGAATTTGTCCTTTAGGACGACGCCTTTTTGAGGGTGGAACAATCCACTGGTCTTATCACTTCCTAATGGTAGTTTGCTTTCATCTCCTAATACTTCCGGCGCCTCCAAGCTGTTTGTGTAGTACACTGCAACGATTTTCTTACTTCTACTCGAAGTGGAATCAAAGGAAGTGACGTAGGCCGGTCCTTTGAGATTTGCAATGACGCGCAAGTGCTCTCCGGAAATAGCCATCTCCAGAAGACATCCACTTCCGGTCAACGGCGAGTATTCCGCGACTGCAAATGTGTTGCGTGAAATGAATGTCACGCCATACACCTCCAACGAGTTGCTCTGGTTTCCGTACGGTTTAGCAACGTGACGTAAAAATTCACCTCTAGGGTTAAAAATGTGAATGCAATTATTACCTCTATCCACGACAGCAATGTGACCGCTCTCGCTTACAGACAGCGCCCATGGGCGAAATTTTGCTGTGAGGGGACTTGGTGGAGAAATGGTGCTAATAACGTGCCCTGGCTTTTTCTTCTTCTCTCCCTTTGATGGAAATCGTTGCCGTGTTTTCGATGAGGTCCGATAGAGCCGTCCATTTCCTGTTTTGTTGTCTCTTTTACATTCCACCATTCCGATGGGTTCTTCAAAGCACGCTTCGTTCACCACGAACTAAATTTTTGTTGAAGAATCTTGGTTCTTCTCCATTAGGGCGTTCTTGCGATCGTTGACCGCCGCGAGCTCCCCTTGTAGCTGATTCAGCAGCGAGGCATTCTCAATGCCTTGCTTAAACTGGCTTTGGTGTCGCTGTACAACTTGAATGATGTGATGGGCCTGCAACGCAAAATCAGCTAATTCCTGCTGTTTTTCTCGCTTCTCTGCCTCGATGACTCGATCCACTACTTTATATAACTCCTGTTCTTTTGCAAGAACGCACTCAACTAACTCTTCGGCGGTGTTTCGAATCTCATGTTTCACTTTGCTCTCCTGCAGAGTTAATGAGGAATGAATGGCGTGTTCCATGTCTCGGATGGCAGTCGCCAAGTCATTCTTGTATTCTTGTGTAAACGTCAGGAGTGCTTGCATCTCCGTGATTTGCGATTGATCTTGATGGCGGTGATTGCTTGAAACCTCAACTAGAAGTCCCTTGGTGGGTAAGCTATCGATTCCGTTGTCCGTCAGAGGGTATTCGTGTTCGTCAATTGGGCATTGAACGGATGTTTGCGCACGGTTTTCAATTTGAATACAATAAGTACATACGCTATGTGAACACGGAAGACATTTCAGTTCATATTCCGTGCGACCACACAGAGAACATTCGTGCCTCGGGGAGTTCATCTCGTAAGCTTACTGCACACCGGTTTGGCGAGAAAATGGCGAGAAAAAATTGCTTAACAAGCTCAAAGTATTGTCTGTCGATGATGTAAAATGCCCGGCATTTAGATGTAATTAATCTCCTCTTAACCATTAAACCGGATCTTATTGTTGCGCTCAATCGCTGTTCAGACACGTAGTGGAAGGTGCAAGGTGCAAGGAACAATTAACAGCAACAATAGTAACAATAGCCAATTGATGACATTCTTGACCGGTAATAAACGATGTAATTTAACTCACAACACTTTCATAACAGAACTTAACCGTTGTTTACTCAGTTTAAATGTATAGGCACGCGTGTCTAACAATAACATGACCAAAGTCACAAAATTCGTACAACTTGTCTTGACCTCGCAATTTGACGCGACCTGCTTGCCATACAGTTGCGTTCGTAGATATAAACCAGCGATTACAGATCATTACACAGCCTCTTTGGGCTCGTCACACCATCTTCCTCCCCATGGATCAATGTTGCGTGACGAGCCCAATGAGCGTATCGCGATAGAAAAACAAAAAAACGTCTGTGTAGGAAGGCAACACATGGCGAATTTTTTTTTAGTAATGGCCGAATTCATATTCGGAGATGGATAATTCGTCTAGAATAATAAACGCAGTATTTAAACGAATTATGTGGCAGAATTTGTCTTCGGCCAACGGCTCTTACATCGACTGATTCGTCTTTCAGCACGTGCTGAGGGACAAATCAGTTGAAATAAGTCGTGTCCTGATATAAATTTGCCGTCGAATAAGTCTTCCCTAGTATCATCTGGTATCTTTTTTTTATGTACACAAATTAATAAGAGCGTTTTAAGAAAAGGTGCGTTTTTTTGTCCGTAATAATAGATAATTCTCCCGTAATAAGAGATACCAATCTCGCAAGAAGGTACTTATCCCTCAACAAAAGGTTCCAGTCCCGTAACTGTAGGGACCGATCCCGCAGCATGCAAGAGGCAGTGCTGGCTACAAAAGCAATCGGTTGTTTTGAAAGTTTATTGATACAAGATAACGTTACACCAGGAAAGAGAAAATATCAATTCGGCATTAACAATGGAATTAAAATTTTGCTTGGAATGATATTTACAATTTGGAAAATATTGACGTATTTGCATTTAGATGTTACAATTCATATTCCAACAGAATAGTAACAATAATTATCATTTAAGACAATAGATATTCGTACAGCATTGTTTCCACATATTTCTCAAGATTCAAGTGATACAAAATACGATTTACGTCATGAATTAATTCGGGTAATGACTTGAGAAATTGCAAGATTTTTACATGTACAATTATAGAAAATATATATTATGTTGTAGAAATTATGTTTACTCTTGAATTATCAGGATACTTGTGAGTGGGATTTAAATAAAGTACAGTCGAACCTCTATTAAGCGGCCAACCTTTATTTGGCGGCCAGCGGCCAAAGTCCCGCAAAAATTGTCAGCTATGCACTGTAATAAAAACCTCTATTCAACGGCCACCTCTATTAAGCGGCCGCGGCCAGCTTCTTGTCGTCCCAAGGGTGATTTTGTTTTGTTTTATACTTCTATTAAACGGCCAGTTGGACGTTTTTAGCCAGATGAAGGTAAAAGAATCACAATGTGGAAGCGTATAGTTTCTTTGGCTTTTGTTAACGCTATGGACCGTATTATAACCATCATTGTTCTACTTTTTCTCCACTTAGATTTGTTTGTACTTAAATTGGACAAACTGAAACTGGACCAGGCCCAACGTTGTTTTCGGGTGAACCTCTATTAAACGGCCCACCTGTATTAATTAAGCGGCCAGTTGTCTCGTCCCCGAGAGTGGCCGCTTAATGGAGGTTCGACAGTACGGTTCTTTTAGAATTTAAATAACTATACTGAAAATTGTGCGGTGTAGTTTTAAAATAAAATTTACTGTACTGTGCATGGCTGGTGAATTTCTGTGATTTCCGATTCTCTCAAATTGCACCCACCAAAAGTCTCACACGATGTTGAGAGAATTTATAAAAATCACACGTGTTATAAATCCTTATTTCACTCGCATTCATGCAAAATACTTATTCACACGACATAACCTGGCCACTCCTAAAAAACAGCCACAGAAAAGTGCCATATCACAATGTGCAAAATTATCTTGAAATCCAAGAAAAAAAAATCGAAATAATGGTTTACGAAGGTACAAACAAAACAAAAAAGAAATAATCTAAAAAAAAAAGAAACAAGGATGCTGAGATTTGGAAAAATTGAAATGGATTGGCAACAACAAACTTGAACAAAAAATCTAGAACACATGACTCGCGCCTGAAGTATTTCGTTGGTTGAACGACAGTCTCGTCCGCGCCAGACCCGGGGGGCATGACTGCCAGAAAAATTGGGTGAGGGTGTGCGGCCCTCATCCCAAAACCCTTACCCTATTTAAGATCAAAATCTGCAATTTTTCCAACCTCATTTATGAAATTCAGTACTCTATTAAGACCTGACCCATAAATCAATGCCTGCCTCATAATTAGTTCCCTAGTTCAGACCGATGTTAAAAGTATTGTGAAGGGCTTTTGCTAATGGTCTTATAGACAATGGTGAAATAGTAGCTTCGTCTAGAAAAACATACCCAATTCAAGACTAGAGTGCAGAAACCATACCCTATTAGAAACCAAAATGGCCAAAATCGATTCCCTATTTCCGCAACCTCGTTCTTTTCCTGGCCCAAACCAGGAAAAGCCCCTGGGAACGAGGTTGCTATTTCCGACCAAAAATATTTATATGTAATCCTGTATTTCTGGCTAAAAACCACAGTGATGTATCTAGCGGAGGGGCCGTAGAGGCTTGGGTCCCCTTATTTTGGGTAAAAAATAAAAAAATCGCAGAAGAAAGGAAAGCCGCCAGGGTAAGCAACCGTCCCCAAACCCCCCCACAGCTCAAGGTCTGGATCCGCCACTGAACCCTACCCTTTGGGGTCGCACATACCTATACAGCCCATATCAGGGATAGCCCACCTCCCCCCCCTCCCCCCTTTGAGGTGCCAGAAAAGAGTTGTCATAAATGTGAGATGCAAGCGCTAACAAGGCGGCTGTAGAACCAGGTTTTCTCTGAACAAAATCGGTACTCTACACTTCCGATTGAGATGATGACCCAGCCCTGTTTCGAACTCCATTGTCTCCTCCGCCATAACCTCCATCAAGAGATGACACCAAAGGTGTTTGTTCGTCCACGCCCAGGTTTTGCACTGCAACGCGTTTGGCGTGCCTGTTAGCCGCGTCCAGTTCAAGGCGGGAGTACTGTTCTTTGAACAGGAGTAAAAGAGGAATGCAACCACCACAAATTCCAACCATGCACCAATTCATCCACAGAGTGCCTGGATCAGTGAACAGAAAGTAGCTTAAAGTGCCCATAATGTCAAAACTTTTTTTTCGCTCATCTAATTCTACATTTTACAATTGGTTCTCACCTATGCCTGGAATCATTAGGGCACCCAAGAACAACAAGCAGGCCACGTGGTTAGAGGTCGTCACCACAGCCATAGGAATCCCCTCTGCGATAGGATAGGTTGTCTCGATAGTGAGCTCATAAAACAGCGGGATGGAGCCATTGATGAAGCAACCACCCAAGATTGCTGAGATATACAACCAAACTATGAGCAAAATAAAACTCATGAGTGAATTAGCAAAGAAAATAATTTTTTGACAATCAGATGTCCCACTGGACAAGTTTATACAGGGGATGCTGTTTTGCCAGTGATTCACGCCAAGATCGCCAATGAAAAAAACCGATAACAGAAACCATGCAAATGTAATGCGGCACTCCTATGCTAACCCTCTTATTTCAGAAATCTTCAATGGAGCACTCTTTAAGTTTCAACATTATCAAACTTGAAAAAAAAATAGTGCAACACTTGCAAGTACTCAGGAAATAACCATTTCTGAGTTGTCTTTTGCCTCTGTGTCAAAACGAGTCTTCCTGCGAAAACCATTCATATGAAAATGACTTCCGCCTACAGGTTCATTTTCATGCAAATCAAACCTATTTTGGTTCTATTTTGGTTCATTTTGAAACAGAGACACAAGGTAACTCAGAAATGGCCTATTGGTATGCCACTTTAAGGCAGTGAAGATGTAATAATTAGTCTTGGCAAACCAAAGCTCTCTCTTTCTGTAACTTGTTTTATACGTGTGTGATTCTAATGGTACCCTTAGTAAAGCCGAAGGGTTATACAGTCTGAAGTGTCAGCTGTCTTCTTCTGCTTATCCCAAGGGTCCTTCTCCAATGGGCCCCTTGAGGGTTAAATGCGACTGATGCCAAGGCTGACTCATCAGAGTAAGGCCTAGGGTTAAGTAAGAAGTATACCCACCTCGTGAAAATGGAATGATCTGTTGACAGAGAAGAGAAAACCAAAGGAAAGAACCCGTAGAGCCAAGAAATAAGAAAATAAGAAACAACTTCATGCGCCCAGTAAATACATCAGCGAACCTAGAAAAGGAACGATGCATTATCTCAGTACGTACATGAGTTATAACTCACTACTTAGCTAAAACAGATTACGGCATAACTCAGTCGCAGACAATTTTGTGATGTCAGAGAGCAAGCAAGAAAAATTAGTCATCCAAATGTGAAGCACATGAATGTGGAAATCAACTCAACTGGATAAACCCTACATCTGGTCACTGGTGGTGAGCACTAAGACAAACACATGTACTCCAAATAACATGATCGTGATTTGCATTTGCACAACTATGTGAAAGAAGAACTGCTTAAGTCCATCACCAGTCCACCAAATGAGAGGTCTTAATTCCTACAACTACTAATTGTAATTTAGGTTCTGTAATGAGGCAAGAAGGGACTGAAATTTAAAACTAAACAGCAGTGCAGCTTATCAAAAGGATATTAAGCATGTATCCTTCCTTTGGAGTACATGTATGTACCTTGCCATGATGAATCCGAAAACACATCCTGTGATGTTGGCATAGAAACCAATCCAGCCAGCAGTATCCTAAACAACCAAGCAAACACTATTTAAAATTTTCTGCATCCCTATTTCAATGTCGTTGATCTCCATGTTGATCGGACAATGTTGTGCTACAAAAATTAAAGAGTCCATTGGGTAGAGAGGTGAAATATTAGTTCCCCCTCCCCTCCCACACCACCAAAAAGAAAAACTAGGAAAGAAGTAAAGTGAAATTTCAATGTAAGCAAGCATGTAGTGTCAAACAATCTATCAGCCAGCCAGTCAGTCAGTCTTTCTTTCAGTCAGTCAGTCAGTCAGTCAGTCAGTCAGTCAGTCAGTCAGTCAGTCAGCCAGCAAGCCTGTCAGTAGGTCAATCAGCCAGTCTGTCAGTCGGTCAGTCAGTCTGTCAGTCAGTCAGTCGATCAGTTAGTCATTCGATCAGCCAGTCAGTCAGTCAGTCAGTCAGTCGGTCAGTCAGTCAGTTGATCAGTCGGTCAGTCGGTCAGTTGGTCAGTCAGCCAGTCAGTCAGTCATTCGATTAGTCAGTCAGTCAGTCAGTCAGACAGTCAGTTGATCGGTTAGTCAATAAGTCAGTCTGGCAGTTAATCAGTCAACACATTTTATAGTAAATCAAGGCAATATCGATCCCCAGTTGATGTATGGCAATATTGATAAGGAGAGGTAAGATGTAATTTAAGTTCAAACAAACATTGAATGTATAACTAGTAGAGGGATTACTTGTTTTAAGTTGAATGACAACAGGTTGACAGCTAAAACTCCACCCCATCCACTGAAAACACCTGTTCACAAACGAAAAAAACAAGGAAAAAAAGAAAAAAAAGAAATTGGTCTTAAGTGAAACTTCTATGAAGCCCCTGGCAGGATCAAGCTACAACTTACTATAGTGGTAAGACAAGACTTCAATGTCCCATATAAGAATTGAAGCCTTTCATGCTAAAAGGGCGTATATGGTATTTTGGGCCAATTTTTATTTTTTGCAGGATCGAGCTAATTTTTGGCAGACTGCCTTGTTTTGACATGAAAAGCATCATTGCATGATTGCTTTTGTTGATTTGTGCTTCGTTTTCGAGAAATGACGTATGAAAAAAAACTCAGTTTTCCAAGTGGCATCTTTTGGAGCAAATCCTTCAAAGGTGGGTTTTGACGCGAAACGAACTTAAACGGTTACTTTTAGCAGCTTCGACAGCACCGTTTTTTTAAGTAGATGTTTTGATTTTTGAAAGAAGTGGAGAAATGGACCGGAAAAAAAATCAACTGATCTTATATCGAACCGGTGTCACAACAAAACAAACTCGAATGCGGCCCATTCAGTGCCTTATTCACTTGCGCTAACGAAGCAACAGTAAGAGAATTGCATCATTCTCTGAATAATAAAACTATCGGCAAATGCCACGCTTCGGTGACTTCATCGTTCAGCAAAACAAAAGGTTTCTTTTGTTTTTTGCTCAACAAAAGATCTCCAAAAGATGCCCTTGGAAAACTGAGTTTTTGCATACGTTATTTCTCGAAACAAAGCGCAAATTGACAAAAACAATTGCACAACAACGCTTTTCAGGTCAAAACAAGTCAGTCTCTCAAAAATTAGCTCGATCCTGCAAAAAATAAAAATCAGCCCAAAATGCTATATACTCCCTTTTTGCACGGAAGCCTTCAATTACAAGCAATGGAGATAAAAGAGAGATGACAATTTGCTTTAAGACTAAATGAAGATGACAGAATAGGCTTGGCCAATGTGAACTTTCTCTTCGATCAGGAATTTAAAATTAAAATAATAAAATTCTCTTAAGAGAGATTCTCTTTACCAGAGAAAATAACAAGTCAGGGATTTGTTCACAGATGTAACACTGGAAAAAAGGCTGCTTAAAATAAATGATTTCAAATAGCTTAGAGCATTAAGTCTCGTGGTGGAATTAAGTTACAGAAACACTTAAACAAATGTTTCCCTGAACTCTTTCTACTCTTTCATTATAATTTAATACCTGTTGTTGCTCCATACAGAATGTTTAAATTCCAGAACTGACAGTTTCTATAACAGTACAAAGAGGTGAAACAATTAAATATTTGTAGGATCAAAATCCAATAACTGACTTAAAGTTAACAGATTAAAGTTTTTTAAACAAATTTAAAGATCATGCAAACATATGAAACACAGTTAATTAAATAGTAATGATGATGATGATTATCATGATGACAATGACGATGAAATTGATCATGATGATGACAATGATGATGAAGTTGATGATGATGATGAAGACGGTAATGATGATAATGATAAATCATGTAAACTCTTTACATCGAAATGGAATTAACATAATACTAGCTTAATTACGGAATGACAACAGTACTGTAAGTAGACTTACCTCATAAGTCTTTTTCCACCTTCTATGTAATCAACTTTCTTTTTTGCAGCGGAAAAGCTGGGTGGCTTAGGAGGTTTAGCTGGGAAGTACACCAACACAAACAGAAACAACAAGGCCACCAGTCCAAACTCTGCAAACAAAAACAACAACAACAGAGTAATGCAAAAATCAAAACATGGCTGGGCAAGACTTGGAGGCAATCAAGATTCATAGAAAGTTAAGTCTGAATTTGAACTTAGTGGCCATTCAGACTGATGCTTAAATGTATTTCAGTTTCCTTTGGGCCAGGGTTTCCATAACATGAAGCAACTAGAATTATTTCTACTCCACCGCGGACACCCAACCCTAAAACAGCCATAATGCAGACTATATTGTATTGATCCATGGCAAAAGTTGTCAAAAAAAAAAAATTGATACCATCTGCTCCCAGACTGTATATATGCTCATTGTCTGCAGCAGCAAATTTACACAGTCCTTTTAGAAGTCACATGACTCTTTCCAAAAGGAACCAAGCTGCTGCGTTCTTTCAGTCCATCGCGTTAGTGTAAAATTAAACTAAAACAGTTCAGTGCCTCCCTGGAGGGGGGTGGAGACACCCATACAAGAAGGAAGGGGTACTTGTTGTCATACCTTATAGGGGTTACAAAAGCAGTTTTGGTGCCTCTTGGGGTGTTCACCCTCAAAAGGCCCACAGCGGGAGCTTTCACTGTACCTTTTTAGGGTATTGAGCGGAAAAAAGTCAGAGTCAGTTAATGTGATGTTTTAGAATTGATACCTCTTAGGGGTGGAAAAATTTCAAGCCACACCCACAAAACAGTATCTTGGTACCTCTAGGGGTTCTTTTCAAAGTTTCAGATGAGCATTCCTGTCCTTTTTAAATGGGAGTCCCCCCTCCCAGGGCAGTGCCTTCGTGTAATCACTTACCAATGTACATATATAGCATAATATGCCATCTTGCAGTAGACAGAGCTTCATCCCAAGACATTTCTGTGTGATAGTCAATGGACAACAGGATTACCTCAAGAAAGTGTACTGACATGGAAATTATACACTCCTCAAAGGTGCGGCTTATACACACTATATCAAATCAGATCAAGCAACAGGTGTATATTTTGACAGCTGATTAAAATGTCAAACTTTATTCAGTCACTTAAATCACAGTTCTCAGGCATGTCAAATGGAATTCACATTTTAAAAAGTTGTGCTGCCACTTTCTCATCCAGTCAGAAATAATTTAAACCAAAACAAAAACCAGTTGTGTCTTGCTGGAGTGAGTTCTGACCAATTTACAGGATTGTCTATGTCCTTTGTGACCGACCAGAGTGGTTACTTGGGTGCATGGTATTTTACAAAATCAAACTGTACAGTATGACAATCAAACTCAACTGATCATTGTGCTATTACTCCCAGCAGCAACACTGTCCACAATAGTGCTGTTAGCTGTGGGTGGATCTGCCACCTCGGATGGATTTAGAACAAAAGGACCAACACCAAACGATATCGATATTCCAACATAACTTGTTAATGATGAAATTGCTGTTGCTGTCGCTCTCTGATTGGGAGGAAACCATGTTGATGACACCAACGGAGGAGCTCCCATAGAAACTGGTGCCGCAAGGTCAATAAGAAATTGGCCAGTGTGGATTAACCTGATGACACACACAAAAAATTACACATTAATTAATAAAAGTGCTTGTACAGCTCTGCAATATCAAAAAATATTTAGACATTTAAAGGAGAGGGGGTGGCAGTCCATAGCATTGAATTGCATTAGATTAGCAGATTCAGACTTGCAAACAACGTGTGGGGATGCATAGAAAAACGGTGAGGCCCTTAATGAAAAGTGATAGAAGTTTTGCCATTTTTTGCTCATACATTAATAAACCTCCATTTTTCCCCAAGTACAGTAATGGAAGAAATCCTGCCCAAGGATTCACCAATGAATTCCAAGGAACTTTTGCTAACCATCCTCTGCAAAAATGCCCACAACTACCTGTAGATATATTCAATCACCACTCACCACCCACTTGATCCTGATGAAGTCTGTCCACAGATGCTCTATTTTATCTTGAGTTCAATGACTAGCAAACTATTAACCACTGGAGAAACAAATGGGGGACTGGGGATATTTTTTGCTTGCTTTGTCATAGCTTTCATGCTTGGGCTCATTTGCGCGTTCCAAGAAAAACATGCCCCCCCCCCCCCCAAAAAAAAAAATGTTACTAGCCTGATCATTAGTTTATAATGCAGAAATGTAATAGAACTGATTCATCATAAATCAACTAGCCCTGAGCTACTGGACTTTCTTTCATGCTGATGATCTGATCACGTGCAAGTCTAACCTAGTTTACTTTCAATTTTTTTTCTACGAGTGGACNATATTTTTTGCTTGCTTTGTCGTAGCTTTCATGCTTGGGCTCACTCGCGCGTTCCAAGAAAAATATCCATCCCCCTGCAAAAAAAAAAAAATGTGGACAGAAACCCTGACACATTTGACCTGATGACTCTCTGGGAACTATTAACTATAAAATAGTCATCATGCTATTTTACCATGTGGCTTGTTTTGGTTCTGATGTAATACACCGTAGTCCTGTTCCGACAAACATCAGAACAATTGTTACTAGCACGGAGATCCTTAGACCTACAACAAGATAAAACAAATCAAGATAATAAAAATTCAAGTCTGCAAGTCCCAATAAAATTTGACTAAAATTCTGCCAGGCAGGCAATTTTTAGAGGACAGTTTGGCACAGAACTTTATCAGGAGAGGACGGGGATGAGGCAAGAAAAATGAAGTAACTATAACAATTATAGTTCCCTTCATTTTTGTTGCCTCATCATCACCTTCTCGCCTTATTGCGGCATTAGAAGCAAATGACAGGTGCAAATGAAGCTGTGACTTGACATCCCCCCCCAAAAAAGTAAGATGAACATTAAACCAAAACAAGACTGCAACTTTTTAAAACTCTTCAAAACAATCCATATCAAAGATCACTGTAAATTCTGCATTAATCAGCCAAGAGACCATCTGACTGGGATTTATTTGGTTTTACTCCCATGATATTAGCAACTAGGAGTATGTCCATCATGCAGACCTCAAGGGGATGCTAGCTTACTGCATGATTATCTCCCAGTACTAGTGGTTGGTGCGCTCGTCTCCAGATTGAGCAGTCCGGGTTCAAGTCCTGGCCAGGGACATTGTGTTGTGTTCTTGGGNGTAACCCTGCGATGGACTAGCATCCCATCCAGGGGGGAGTAGAAATACTCCTAGTCACTTCATGCTACAGAAACCGGGATAAGCTCCCGCCTGATGGGCCACTTGGCTCATACGCAGACTTTACCCTTATTAGTTAATGATATATGTATACCCCTGGGTGACAACAGGAATTGCAACGATCAGGTGTCCTGCCCAAGGGAGTTATTAATTATGTATAACTGAATGTCATATATCACCTGCTGAAACACCATATTGTTATACCTCCCAACTCAAATACATTTTCTGACTGGAGGATAATGTGTCACGTGTCGTAGGTCAAAACCCACTAACTCCCTAGGGCGAAAAAAACTCACTAACTGCCTATGGAAACAACAACTTAAACTTTCAATTCCCACATGATCAGGTTGTGCTCTTTGAAACAGTGGCAAATTTGTGAGCCAGCCGGCGTCAAGCAAATGATTTCCTCACAGTTTTTTTCTATTTTTGAGTTGGGAGGTGTAACAAAACACTAAATGTTTTGTTGTACCTGTGGGACCAGTCATTAAAATGACTGGTCCCACGGGCAACAGTGAGTTTTGTTTCCCCTCGTCCTCAATGTTCCCCTCAGCTTCACCTCAAGGAACATTGAGGGTCTCGGGGAAACAAAACTCCCTGTTTCCCTTGGGGCCAGTTATTATAGGGCTGTCAAAGGTACTTCATTGTAATTGGCTAAGAGTAGGATTGATCATTAATCATTTTAAATTGCACTCCCTTAAATTTAAGGCTCATGTTTTATTGAGAAAATACCAAATATCACTCTGAGTGTAAATCCTTAGGCACTTCAATGTATGTGAATTGGATCATGTGTATGAAAGGCATCTGCAGTCAAGTATTGATCAATACATGTAAACTACCCTTGGTCGACACTCTGTCAACACTCAATCGACATCTCCATTGATACTTGATCAACCCTCGATCGACATCTTGGTTAACAGTCAGTTGAAAGTTGACTAATTTTCGCAGACAATAATAATAATAATAATAATAATAATAATAATAATAATAATAATAATAATAATCGATATTTAAACAGGGTGACCCCTTCAGTCGCAGGACTGGTATCAACGGGGGCCCTGTATAATGTAAAATAAAAAGAGCATGCATATCCATTGATTGTCAACCAATATGTATTAATTAATCGACACTTGGCCCACTGTTGACTGACTGTCAATTGAGTGTCGGTCTAGTGTCGATTGTGATGTCAATTAAATGTCAACCTAGTGTTGACAAAGTATTTATCAAGATATTGATAGAGAAGTTGATGGAGTGTCAATGGAGTGTTGATCGAGGGTATGGATCGACAATTGACAGCGGATGCCTTTAGGATACATGATCCTACAAATTTACTTTTATACTAGACAAGCCAGTATAATAAAGGGCAGCAAGCAGGTGATGTCTGAGAAGATATGAATTTTATGTTCGAGTGGCAAGAACTATATCTCACAAGTGAGCACAGCAAGCGAGTGAGATATTGTTCTTGCCACGAAAACATAAAATTCATATCTTC